ATGAAGCGGTGGGTTTTCTTCTATAATTTAATCAATTTGTAAATCCTTTTCATTTTCATGATTCAGATTGTTTGAGTGCATTGGACATTTTTCATTAGAGGAATCGTAAAACCATTACGCTTTCAATATATAACTTCGTTTCTTATGAAAAAAATCACGATGTTTCTTTCTAAGCATTTTATTGAATGCGCTCACGTGCTTAATTTCCTTTCTTCTCTGAACAATGTAATTTTGAATCTCATAAAAACTTCTGCATTGCAGAAGTTAGGTTTTTCCCGGAAAATCAACTCCAAGATTCTATATGCAAAATCCTTTGAGGTTTTTGAAATCTTTGACTCGTCAAAATGAAGCAATTAGGAAGTCCAAATAGCGATAATCATAAAGTGATAATGGACTTTCCCATCTCGGAAAATGGAATTAACCAGATTTATATAACATGTTACCCAAAGAACCTTGGTTGGGTTGCTATTTTATTTTCTGTGCCGTCTTTGTGCTTTAAAGTGTACGAAATCATAGCAATCTGGCTTCAGACAAGTTTTAGAAAACTTACTAGAAGTGAATATCTTAAGAGTTCCCAGAGGATAGACTTTTTGCAGTCATAAACAAGTAATCTTTTGAAGCTAAATCTTCTTGAGAAACTATTATCTTGTGGTTCAGAAATGTGTAAACGACACCAAAAAAATCTTCTTGATAATTACAGCGGTATTCTCATCATATCTCAAGATTTAAGTAGTTTAAACTGAATTTAGCGTTTATAGATGTAGTTTGCATAAGATAAGAAAAAAATGTTATTCTTCTCTCCGCTTGTAAATTGTTCAAATATAAAACTCTTCTTCGCAATCATTCACTTTTCATGTTCTAAGAGTATCTCATTTTCTGAATCTAATGAGCTCTTACATTTCAGATCAAAGAATACGAAAAGATGGAGACCCCAGAAGAGCGTCTAACGAAAGCGCGAGAAATTTACGATCACCATATCATGGTTGAAATGCTCGCACATGCTCACGTAAGTGTTACCTCAAGAGCTACCTCCTTAACCCATTCATACATTCCAGAACTACTCAAAGGACTCATTGCAACACGTGCAGTACCATCTGCTTAAAGGCAGTGTGCCACCGGATTTGTTCCAGGTTTGCGAGTTTACTCCGTTGCTCTCGTACCCTTCCCACACATTCACAGCCGTCCACTTATCGACCACGCCTGTGTTGTTGTGGGCGTTGATGAGTTCTTCCGCTCGGAATCACCCGTGCTCCTTATATCGGGGCAATATGCACAGCGGTTTTTTGCACTCCCAGATCTTGTCCAACGCTCTGCGAAAAATAACTTTTTTTTTTGAGCGACAGAAGACTAGTTTGTTTTTTGACCAAGATATGGTTCCGGATTTGGGTCATCTGAAGTACCTTCTCTAAGTCAAATCCTGCCTCAAAGAAATAGCGCAAGCATCACACACTTTTCGTTACAAATATGGGTGTCGTAATGGTAACATAAAGGCCATCCAATAAACCATTGTAACCTAGATAAGTAGTTGTTTATACGATAAACTGCAAGGTATTTGATTTCAAAAAAAAAA